TGTGGGGTCTCCAAACTACTCCCATAGGCAATTTCTAATAATTGAAAGTTGTCTGTTGAGATAATAATAATGGAGGGTGAGAAAAGATTTAGGAGATGTGTGCCGCCACGTCCCTGCCCTGTGTATCATCTGCCTTTGAGTGGAGTATGCAGCGTCAGCCCTTGAAGGAGCTGGCATTGTTCTGCTCACGCCTGGCTCTTTTTAGGGGGAATCTGCACCCCTCAGACTGGGTCCCACTGCTGCTGAGGCAGTGTGGAGGCTGTGCTTGGGGAGATCGCAGGTTGAGTTGGCTGAGCAGCTTGGGACAGACCTGTCCCTATCTCAAGCTTCACTGACCAGCTAAGACGCTCTCATGCTGGATCTGGAAGCACAGTCTTCAGCCTCTTCCCACTATGGCTGAGAGCATTTTGTTGGGTCCATCTGACTCTGAGGAGCCGGATGTGATGGGAGTTGAGGCAGATAATGCCAGCAAGCCCACCTCCTCCTAGATCCCTGAATACAAGGAGTTAGTGGAGGTTATGACCTGCGCCCCAGCTGGTTTAGGCTTAGACTGTTTGGCGTCAAGAGAGGAACCCATCTGGGTAGGCTGGATGAGTGGAGTGGTTCCTCACGGGTTCTAAACCTCCTCCTGCTGTGAGCCTGCCGTTAAATACTGATCATAACAATGATATCGTAATAAACATTTTTCAGCCCATTCGTTCAGTCCCCCTTCATCTAATTATACTATCATCAAGGGGATGAGTGAACATTTATGTGAGGTTTCCCCAGGTAGATGAGATGCTCGCTGACTATCTCTCTCCTGGTGCGTCGACCTCACTCATGACTCCCGTTTTGCCTTCCAAGTCATGCCAAGTAACATCTCAGCTGGTAGGCAAAACGTACATGGTGGCCGGCCAAGCTGGTGGAGTGCCAAGCATCATTGCAGTGATGCAAGCTTACCATGCTGACCTGTTGAAGATCCTTGATCAAGGCGAGGATATACCTCTCGAACCCCCCCGAGAGCTCTGCCATAACACAGACCTCGCCTTCTGTTCCATGAAGCAGGTGGCCCATTCCACTGGCTGCTCTCTCGGAGTGGTGGCTACAGAGCGGCATCTGTGGCTGAACTTCTCGGGCATCAAGGAGTGAGAGAAGAACTTCAGGTAGGCAAGAGTTCAGACAGCAGTATTTGAAGGGTATATCCCGCATTGAAATCGGGCACCATGACCATGTAGTCGGCCCAAGCTGGAGGCAAGGTCAGAAAGAGAATGTGGTTACTTGTGATCCATCTCAGAGAAGCCGGGGCTCAAGGCAGCGATCTCGGGGGAAGCCCATGAAGGATCTCTGAGACATCATCATGGAGAAGAGACAACAAAAACCTCCTTCTCTGTTCCCACTTCGAGGTGTGTTGGGCACAAGAGGTTGTTAAACAATTACATTTATTAGGAGTTGGGGAATATTACAGATGCTGTTTGAGGATGTTAGTTATGTGAGTTTGAGTGAATGCTGGACGAGATGGAGTTGTGCTCTCCTCTTCTTAGTTTTGTATTCTCACAGCATGCACATACAGTATATTTAGGTATACGCTGGTTGAGGATATGAATTATGTGGTTGAGGTTGAGCATTACTCTCTTCTTCTTACGCATTATTTCTTATTCTCACAGCATTGCACATAAAGGTATATGTTGGTTGAGGATGTGGATTCATGTGCAGGTCGAGGTTGAGCATTGCACTCTCTTTTTATTTAGCCATTCTCACAGCTTTGCACTTATAGATGTATGCTGATTGAGGATGCGATCTATTGTACTGGTCAAGGTTCAACATTGCACACTCTCTTTTAAGGAGGCATTTTCACAGCTTTTTTGTACTGGTCAAGGATGAGCGGTGCTCTCTCCATTTTAGATTAATATTCTAACAATGTACACATACTGTATATTTTTTTAGGTATGTTGTACACTGGTTGATGATTTGATTTTATGTACTGGATGAGGTTGAGCATTTATTACTCTCTTCTTCTTACGCATTATTTCTTATTCTCACAGCATTGCACATAAAGGTATATGTTGGTTGAGGATGTGGATTCATGTGCAGGTCGAGGTTGAGCATTGCACTCTCTTTTTATTTAGCCATTCTCACAGCTTTGCACTTATAGATGTATGCTGATTGAGGATGCGATCTATTGTACTGGTCAAGGTTCAACATTGCACACTCTCTTTTAAGGAGGCATTTTCACAGCACTGCAGATTAATATATATGCTGGTTGAGGGCGTGATTTTATGTACTGGTCAAGGATGAGCGGTGCTCTCTCCATTTTAGATTAATATTCTAACAATGTACACATACTGTATATTTTTTTAGGTATGTTGTACACTGGTTGATGATTTGATTTTATGTACTGGATGAGGTTGAGCATTTTAATTTCTCCCTTTTTCACTTTGACAGCATATCATATAGTCATGTATGCTGGTCGAGGATATGATTTTATGTACAGGTTGAGGTTAAGTGATGCTATCTCGTTTAAATTCTCATACTCACAGCATTACATATAGACATGCATACTGGTTAAGGACATGATTGCATTGGTGAAGGTTGAGCGGTGCTCTCTCCTGTTATTTATCATTTTTCATAGCATTGCACATAGATTTATATGCTGGTTGGTATATGATTACATATTTCGGTTGAGGTTGATCTGTGCTATCTCCCTATTTTGCTCACAGCATTATATACAGTATATACTGGTTGATGATATGATTTTATGTTCTGGTTGAGATTGAGCGTGGCTCTCTCCCTTGTATTTCTCACTTTCACAGATTGAGGTTGAGCATTGCTCTCTCTGTTATTGTTATTACTCTCGCAGCAGTTATGATGCTTTAGGATGTAGCCGAATTTAGTACTCGTGTTTTCCCTCTTATTCCCATCCCTGCAGTATTATTACTTCCCTGGCTGAGGTGGAATGTTATGGAGACATTATTTACAGAGAGAATGCAACAGAATATTCATTGTGTTGCCTCTCACTGCCTCACTCGGGCCACATTATTGCTGTTGGGGAAGGTAGAGGTAGCTGCAATGTACCTTTCAAGCAATTGGGAGGATGGGCAGCTTGTGCCTGCTTTCCCTTACTTTTGTCATCCACATAGTGGTGATGCTTGTACAGTAGATTCTGGTGCGCTCCCTCTGCTGGAATATATCTTACCCATGTAGGTACATAGACTATAGCATCTGGCAACTCAAAAGGCAATTTTGGATTTTGGAACCCATCGACGCAGCGTCTCATTCCCCTTCTTGGGGAACCAAAGTTACTTGCTTAACCGAGACATTTTCTTGCATGTCTCTTAAATGAATGTGATGCTAGTGATGTTCCTTATTTGTAAATTGCTTTGGATAAAACCAATGAATAAACAAAAGAAAAAAAATGTAAATACCATTGCACTGACTGATATTTGAGAGCTACACTGGAAGGGATCAGCAATGGCTATTTATTTATTTACATTTATTTAGTCATTTATTTACCTTTATGTCATTTTAAACCCATAAGTCTTTTGTTGCACATCGAAACTTAAATGAAAATATTTTCAATGAAACCTGTATTTCAGTCCATTTGACAAAACTTTCAAGCCTTAAAAAGAACATAAAGGCATCATAAAAGTAATCCATATTAATTGAGTATTTATAGGGCACATCAAATATGGTCAAAGATTGATTACCCATCCTTCAGGTTTGTCTATTCTTTAAGGTTGAATGCAACAGTAAGGATGGCACATGCAGCATGGGATGGCTATGTTTTAGAAAATACGCTGGTTACATTATTGGTGAAAATTTGACCTTACAGCTAGTAAGGACAGTTTCATCACATATTCATCTAAAAATATAGCTTAAGCATCTTCATGAATTTGCATGAATTTCCTTAAAGGGGTCATATGACGTTGCTAAATAAGAACATTATTTTGTGTATTCGGTGTAATGAAATGTGTTTATGCGGTTTCAGGTTAAAAAACACATTATTTTCCACATACTGTACATTATTGTTTCTCCTCTATGCCCGGCGTCGATTTTTACAAAGCTCATCGGTCTGAAAAGTGAGGTGTGCTCTGATTGGCCAGCTATCCATGCCTTGTGATTGGCCGAATACCTCAAGCGTGTGACGGAAATGTTACGCCCCTTACTATACTGTGATGCTGTGTCCCGGCGTGATGAGACAACACCAATAAAACCCATTATAAACCAGGCATTTGTTGCATCCAGTGGGGACATAATTACTGATTATAATGACTTATACTGTCTTTTTACGCGTTGCGTTGCATCGTGCTGCGTAAACATAAAACCATGTCTGCATTTGTGATCGGAGAAATGACAAACAACAAGCGCTGCTCTACACTGCTCAAAACTCACGTTTAAATAATCAGTGGTAAATTCTATAAATATGAAAACGTACTTACAGGCTGTAAATCAGCATTATTTGTCAGAACACCGGCATTGTAGTCTACTCTCCCAGGAAACAGTCCTCGTCCTCCATAAAATGTGCTGCACACATCTGAATATTTGGGTTGAACTGTTCTGGAACAGTGTTGTAAATACAACTTAACCACTGATTTCTAGTTGTGTCCTCTTTTGGAAGGCCAAGCAAAGTAGTTTCGCTTTCACAACGAAACACACAGCATCTCCACGACATGGCGGCGGAGGCAACAATACTGCAGCGAGAATAAAAGTTACGCTTTCTTTCTTTGCGTGAACATTTGGGCGGTGTTATGCAAATCGTCCCACATAGGGACGTACACATGTGGGGGCGTGTTTAAACGAGGCGTTTTAGGAGGGCGTGGACGAGTCTTAATTTTTATAAAGAATATCTCTTTGGGTTTGAGACTTTAGTCTTTGCAACTTTAGGGATCGTATCTATTCACAAACAGCTTGTAACACTCCAAGAGAAAGGAAAACTTGAAATCACATAATATGACCCCTTTAACTATAACAACCCTGAGTGAGAAATGTGGTTTGTAATGTGAAATCACAGCAGCGTGACTTACGGTGTAAGCTGAGGGAGATGTTGATGGTTCTCTCATCTGTAAAGCTCTTGAGTCCTGTTATCTTAGCGCACTTCAGTCGTGTGCCCGCAGGGGAGTCGCCCACATTGATCCAGCACACTGTTTCCTGCGTGTACAGGAAGTCCATGGCTGTGGTCTGTTTTGTGCTTATGTAGAGTGATGGGCTGCTGGAGCCGCTCAGAGACGTGATCTGGATGTTCTGAGAGTTTGCGATCAGTAACACGGGGAGACGGTCCACAGGCACTACAGCAACAGGAAGACATCTGTTTCATCTCAAATATAGTTACAGTTCAGCCTATAATAATAAATGAAACTGTTGGCCGATGCGGATACATGTATGTGAGGGAAACAGAATTGGCTTTATTTGATCTTATCTTGGACTGTTATGTTTGTCTTACCGTTCTTGGCCTTGCAGGAGCGGTTGTCTGGTTGAACTAGATAACCTTCCACACAGGAGCATGTGTACAAGCCGTCTGTGTTTGTGCACGTCTGACTGCAGGTGCCGTACACCGTACACTCATCAAAATCTGAACACACACACACAAAACAGTACTTTTTTACGTTTTAGATTCTAGTTAGTATGAATGCTATTGTTTATTTATTTTTAAGTATTCATATTGATTATTCCCATTCAATTAAAAGAATCCACTGTAATGTCTATATCAGAAGCAGGGATTGAAATTAACTTTTTCACTCACCAGACAATTTGAATGGTGAGTGAATAATAATAATACATTTAGGCTTATACTAAACAAATGAAATCAGTATCAACTAAATAAATCTTTGCATTTTGTGCACGTCTGACTGCAGGTGCCGTACACCGTACACTCATCAAAATCTGAACACACACACACAAAACAGTACTTTTTTACGTTTTAGATTCTAGTTAGTATGAATGCTATTGTTTATTTATTTTTAAGTATTCATATTGATTATTCCCATTCAATTAAAAGAATCCACTGTAATGTCTATATCAGAAGCAGGGATTGAAATTAACTTTTTCACTCACCAGACAATTTGAATGGTGAGTGAATAATAATAATACATTTAGGCTGATACTAAACAAATGAAATCAGTATCAACAAAATAAATCTTTGCAGAAGTTCCATACGAAGTAGCATTTAGATGTATTTACACATGTTAGTGCAGCCTAGAGGGACACGGAGTGCTTTAACCTGCAGTTACAAATGCATAAATAATGTTTTGATATTTTAAACATGAAATTTTGAATACTGATATTTGAAATAATAAAAAAATGAAAAGATACATTAGATGTAAAATTAAAACAATTAAAACCGCCAGCAGGTGGCAGCAAGTCACTGTTAAGTGAGTCATTGCGGATGATCCGAATCATTTAAATGGTTGACTCATTCAGGAACGAAACACCGTCATGTTGCTCAGACACACAAAACAGTGCTGTGGCTGTTTGGAATTATTTTTGTTGGCGAAATAGAGCAAAAGCAGGCATGGTGTCTAAAACGTAAGTCTCTTGATATTAACTTATTGTTTATTGAACTGCTGTATAAAATCAATTCACAAATCACATTTGTAACCATGCTGATTTTTTATTTAAAATGGCACTCTTCGTGTGATATTAACTATTTGAAATGATATAACTATATACATTTTCTGCCCCCCTTATCTTGAATTATGTGATCATTCTTAATGCATATTAATAGACTGAATCATGCACTGAAAGAACGCACTCTAAATGCCTACGTGCACTAAGTTAATGTAGTTGCTTACGCGGATACGCGTGCACTCTGTAGGTGTGTTTTGTTTGGTGTTTGCAATATTCTCGATAAAGTAATGAGTTCAGTATTTGCGCTAAACCTGCACAGATTTGGCTTGCACGAACTTCCCCAAGAAATTAATGAGTGAACATAATTTATGAAAAGTAACCCGCCAAATTGGCTAGTGATTTGACAGCGTTACCCACCACAGCTGATTTTTACCCGCATTTGGCGGGTTGGCGGGTGTTAATTTCAAACCCTGATCAGAAGTAATGTCTATATTTTTGCATTCATAGTAGTCTATACGCATGTCAGTCATGTGAATGTGTGTGTAAAGGTAACCAACCTTTACAGGTCTTTCCATCTTGGCTGATCTCATAGCCGCTCTTGCAGTAGCACATGGGGCCGATGCGTGTGACAGCACAGTTGTCCTGGCAACCAGTGAGAGTACAGTTGAGTGCCAGTTCTACAGAGATCAGAGCAGAGGACGGCTAGAGGTCAAACAACACAACACAATCTATTACCAAACACACTGACTCACACTGCCCGTCAACACTCACTAAAGAGACTTCATGAAGACCGCAAAACAACAAGAAACATTTTACATGCATCTAAAAGGCAAATGACATAAATCAAATGAAAGCATATGATAAACAAAATCTCATAAGTTTTGTTTTTACTCAATGTAGTAACAGAACTTCATCACATACTGAATGACAACACAGTACATGCTAGACTAAAGGCAAGAATCAAGCTAACATGTAACATACAGTAATTTACCAAAGTGCACATTTGTATTTATTTATATATATATATATATATACATGTGTGTGTGTATATGTGTGTGTGTGTGTGTGTGTGTGTGTTTTTATTTTTTTCCAATTCAAATATATAAAACATCTAACTATATATATAACACACACACACATATATACAGTGTTGGGGAAAGTTACTTTTAGCAGGTTTGTGTCATATTCTGAGTTGCGTTATTTTTATTCATTTTGAGGAATACTGAATCTGTGTTTTTTTTGTGTGTGAGTTAGATTAATTAACGCATATTTATATTTATTTTAGAACTACAGTAACATCTGATTTCTCTCAACATGGCGACACCAGAGCTGTCAGTCAATAAATAAAATTAAAAAAAGTAACTTGCGTTACTTATTTGAAAAAGTAACTCAGATATTCTCTTGTAAATTAAAAAGTAATGCGTTACTTTACTAGTTACTTGAAAAAAGTAATCTGATTACGTAACTCGCGTTACTTGTAATTCGTTACCCCCAACACTGTATATATATATTGGCAAAAGATGTCTTAGAATTAAACAGGCTGTACCTACTCTATACCTTTAAGAATTTTATGTAAATATGACATTGTAGTTTATGAACATGGTAAGAAAACGGTATTGGTAATTGTCTGCCAGAAAACCCCAAAACACAACACAATGCAATGTGTAATTCAAAATGCAGGTAAAACCTGAACAAATCTGAAAATTCCATCATATTAACATGGTACATTAGGCCCTATTTTTTACAGACTTTTTTTAAAAATGAGGATAAGTAGAGTTGGTGAACACTAAATAGGTGTTGTAAAGGTGTGCTTAATAGTTTCTCAAGATTTCTGAACTAGCTGTTTTTGTAGTTTAGTTTCAACAAATTGTCTGCCTGGACTAAAGTTTTTGAAGGTTGATGTCTGCACACAATTTTGAAGCATTTTTTATGTTAACACAGTAAGAAAATCCTATTTTGCATGAAACTGATCAATTTGACAAACCACAGAGTGACTGATATGAAATAACAGCACCTGGTACCTCAGCAGGCAGTGAACAGAAGTGATGTTAACAACACACACACACACACACACCTGTCCCAGAGCTCAGGGGATGCCACAAACATGAGCATACAGTCAGATACTAATGAGCCTCTAGATGAACTGCATCAACAGCTCACAGCAGCTATGCTAATATGCTAACAGCTCCTTATGTAGTCAGCCTTAGTGGTTTTGTCAGTCCAATCATATGCTCAGTCCAAAAACTGAGCCCTCATAAGCCCACTTCTGACATGAACACTGTTCCAACATTTCCAAACGGAGATATGGTAATGGCAAACTCAGCAAGTCAAGCTCTATTTGTGTGGCACGTAGGGCTGCTGCCTATGAACATCATTCTAAATCAGTCACTTTTGAGGTTCCATTTCAGTTGGGATGCTGCCTTAAAAGACAACTGCTTGTGTTGGTAGTAGGCAGTGATGTCCAGGTTTTGCATACTGTCAAAAATGTTTAATATATTTTGCTTTGAATAAAAAATTGTCTCTCAAATGCAGATATTAGTCAACCAAATTATTCTTTTAACAAATCATGTAACTTAAAATGTAAACTGCATTTTGTTTGTAACACACTGAGGCTTCAAACATCAAACTCTGAGCCAGTAACGTCTGTTCCAGTTTTCTTAACTAATGCACCTTCTGCTGACCAGTGAACTGTTGACATAGTTTCACTGTTCCTCAAGGTATAAGGTCAGATCGCATAGTCTTCAGTTTCAATGACTGACTCCGTATTGAGTATCTAAAGTGACACATGTCCTCATACATGAAGCTCTGCAGAGCTAAAAGCATGCATCCAAATCATGAATTTGATGATCAAGCAATTCAAATTTAGGGAAAATGCATTTCGTGGAGGGAGGCAGTTTAAATTAACTGCTTCTGACATTGGACAGTGTTGGAAAGCTACTATACAACTGTGGTTTACAAAACTACTCATAATGTAGAAACAATATGAATATGAAATGAAATGTCTATTTTATTGGGTTATGAAAAGTGGCCATGACATACTAGAGTTTGCAATTATGCAGGACTTTGAAGACATGAGTGCATACTAAGAAATGCACTTATGTTAGTACTGTAAGTACTTTTAGTAATCTCCTCA